TTAAGGGGTTATAGTCGTGTGCTTGGCCTTCAACAGGTTACTTTTCCGTGTTTGAATTCTCTAAAGTCACATCCCTTGTCTTGATTTTTTTTTTTTTAAAGAAAATAGACAATAAAGAATCTTTCATGGATTTATAAAAAGAGTTCATAACGTTATTGGGTTGCAAAATACAAGCCGGTTATTAAGAAGCGGAGAGCTTAAGCTTGTAGTTAGGATCTCCATCTCTTTGGATAAGTGTTCTTGTATAATTTGGTAGAATTCAAATGGTATAATTTTTTTTTTCTTTAACATTCATGAAACAAATAATATAATATATATATATATATATATTTTGAACATTGGGGAATTGGTTTGGGAAGGGGAAGTAAGTCTTGGTTTAAAACTCATGACATGTTATCTTAACTCACACATTTAAGCAAGTGGTTACTAGGTCACCACGAGTTAGACGAAATAAATGATATAATATTTTGTTATAAAAAATTTCTGTAAATTAATAATTTTGGCATGGTAATGACATTGTGACACTCCAATATTAAAACCTAAAATCTATCTAAAATTCCCTTTCACCAAAGTCAAATTGAATTCCATCCATGGTTACCCAATATTCCCCCTCTGAAATGTTCCCCTGCAATTGAGCTACATCAACTATTTATACACCCCGCCCCACCCTAGCCAAACCCCCAGAAACCAACTACGCCCGCATCGCTCAAACCAGCTCTCTTTTATTTATTTTTTATTTCTTTAATAATATCCTCAAGTCAATTTATGCACATTTAAACATAAAGATAACCCACCTACATTAAAATTAAAAAATTATGAAAAATTATATTTTTTTATTATTTTTTTTAAATTATAATTTAATTAATAAAATAAAAGTAAATAAATAAATAAATTTCTTTACCAATTGAACCATGACTTCTCATTTAGTGGCCGTGTTTCCCATACCGGTTGTGGATGCAATTTCTTTAGTCCAAAGTAGATGCTGTCACAAGAAAGTTTGGCAACGCCAACGGCT